ACGGTACTAGATGCTAAAGCCCTTGAAGCTGGCAGCCAAGTTTTGCATAGTCCTCTCTGTAATCTGTGCACCACCGAGAGGACTCATTTAAGGCTTCCCCATCCAACAACTTTTTAGCTGCACAACCTTCTCTAATGTGGTGCTCTCTAGATGCTTTGGACTATAACTCCCATCAACATTTTGCCAGACCCGTTTTCATTTAGGCAGAAAGAAAGTGTGGCAATGTTTACACAAAAGCTATATGAACTTGTTCCTTTTTAATCACCTCCAAGTATATTGCATTGCTTAGCAACTAGAGTGAAGCTAATCAGCATGGCATTAAATATTGATATTTTACAAAAAATAAATGTCATCAGAAATTTTAAGGAGATTCTCCCACACACTTGGCCTTTACTTAGAGCTGAATTAAGTTGGTTGAGCCGATTCCTGGCGAGTGTATCTTGCAATGATGATGTGCTGGGATATACCGCAGTTCTGCTGCTATCAATGCTGTCAAGCTCTGAGACATGGCATTCAGTGCAACCCTGCCTGTCATCGTCTCTCCAAGTTGGATTTCAACCAGTGGCTTTGGCCATTAGCAATTCCCTTATCTTCCCACACCTCTCGATGACACTTTTAACCTTTCACCTCCTTTGGCTTCCTTGGAGACTGGATCTAGAGACGCACCAAAGAAGTGTTTCAGTTTAAAGCATTGTACATTTAAACAGGGAAAACAGATAGAGAAAAATGGGACTCCACATCACCATATGGTGGCACAATGTTATACCACATATACCATGCATATCAATCACTTTTTCTTTACCAGGCTAGCTGAATGCTTCTTTTGCACACTTAGGCAGCTACAGAAGTAAGACGTGTGATATCAGAGTAGCTGTTCGCTTCTATATCTGGTTCCTTCATTCTTTGGAAACTTTAGCAGCAGTTTCTATGTTTTCTGCTTGTATATTATTATTTCAACATGACAACAAATACATCTGTGTCTGGTCTTTATTATTATTATTATTGCATGTGCCTTCTTTACTTTCTAAGGAATTGGTGCACGTTGCCTAATCAACAGAGCCCCGTTTAGGCATTTAAAGACACAAAATAGAGATAATCAATGTTCTCAATTGTGCAGGGAGCCTACCCATGCATGTGAAGTTTCCTGGTGTAAAGAAGCACACCCTTTAAAATTACAGAGGGCTACATAGCTAGATATTGTGATACGGCAGAGCAATGGCTCATCCTTGTCCTCTTATATGCATATCTCCATCACATGTCCACTTCCCTGCTGTGACTCTCCTTTGCTAACAGCCAACATGGTTTGCCATGTGGATGCTTCTGATCTCATGGAACCTTTCCATTTCCTCACACCTTTGTGGTCCTTGAGGTGGCCGTTGCTAGCATGGAAACAGTGCACACAATGAGGAGACTATCCCAGCAAGCTTCACCAGCTGGTGCTCTGGAGGCAATGTGATATGGGGATGAAGCAATAGGTAGTCTTTATCCTTGACTAAGAGTTGCTTCTTCCCTGAACCACCTTAGCTTCATCTTGCTTCCACTTTTTACCTTTCTTCTATCATGCCACTGCTACTCATTTGCTAATTCTGGCCTCTTTCTCCTCAACCAGCTCTTATATACCTAATGTAGACTGACACAAGCCTTGCCAAGAGGCCTTATTTTGACTTATATGCTGCTGCTGCTGTTTTAAAAAAGTAATAGGGGTGGCTCCCTCAGTGGATGAAGCCAGAGTTTAGAGAAGGGAGTTGGAAGCAATGAGAGCCAGAAGCTTAGTTTAGAGTTGCTGTGATGTGAACCAGAGGGAAAGAGGCAGAGCATGATGCTCAATGTCTGTTTGGATCCAAAAGGCTGCATGATGAGAGAAGCAGGACCCTCTTGGGGTGATTATGCTGTGAACCCTTCCATCATAGGCTCAGGTTGTATATATCTATAAATAAGTCATATATCATAAAGACGCCACAGTCTCCATTGTGGCTCATTTTCAAAAGGAAACATGGACCCTGGGTAAGTGCCTGGAACCCCTGCAATTGCGCACCGCTCAGAGATTGGGGTGGCGTGTAGCAGTATAATGGCAAACATAGGTAGCACATTTCCTGCAAAAGAAGAGCTGCCTGGAGCAAGTGCTGACATGTCAGTCTGCCAGCCATGAGTCCAATTAAATATGTGCCTTTGACAAGCTCCTTGTTTTCTGTGCCCCAGAGATGGTGCAATCGGCCATTTTGCAGGTCCAGTTTAACTTCCGTTGCTGAGCTACTCCTGAACAAAAACAATGGACTGGCAGAAATTACCCTGAACAATTATCTTCCTTATCATCACACTTGCTAAATATAGACTAGGGTGATATATATATATACACCGTATATATCAGTCATGCCACTGATAACCAGGAGTTTACATTTAGCTTTTGGAACTTTGCACTGTTTCATTTTGGATGGAAATATTGTGCCTGGTATCTGTCTCCAGAGCATCTGGCCATGTAAAATGGGAGCATCTGCGTCCTGCTTAGAAGGATCCTCTGCTGGGACAGCAGCTGGCTCTATCAAAAGCGGCGCTGTAGGGAAGCCTGCAGCATTGCTTCAGCCTTGCTCTTCCTAATGAGGATTCCTTTTCCCAGTTACATGGGCAAGATCTGGTGACTGCAGAATCAACAATGTCCCCCAATAGTTAAAATATAAATATAAATGGAATGCACTCCCGTTCATATTGCAGTTAATGGGAAACATCAATAAGCTTAAATAAGAATTGTATTAAATCCACAATGCGCATAGATCCTGGGTTTAAAATCATAGTATTTATGAGCTCTCTTTTAGTTGCTGCTTAAATAAAAATGCTTTTTTTAACAAAAGGGAGAGAGTGTGTGTGAGAGATGGGAGGACAAGAAAGGGCATTTCATCGGCAAAGATTGCATCACTCTCCCTCTGAAATTATATTACTGCCCAACACATACAGCAATAATTAAAAACCTGCCAGCATTTCCATTATGTATTCTGTTTTGGTGCATTTAATATCTCAGCTGCTTGAAATTTCACTGGGCTGATTCTGGGCAAACAAATTTTCATTCTGGATGCAAATCAAACTCTGAGTCACCTTTTATTCTGAAGCACAGGTCCTGCTTTAAATGTATGGATTAACAAAAAACAAAAAACAAAAAGAACATCCCTGTGAGGTAGGCAGATGACTGGCAACCAACCAAGACTGAAAGAGACATCCGAAGCCACTGAGAATTAGAGGATGTCAATTTTGGTTTTTTCTCAGTTTCTCACTTTCCCAGTCTGGTTTATTACATGATTTCCAGTTCTACCCTGATTAGAGATGTGAACCTTAGAATATCTGGTCTAAACACACAGCTCACAGGATCACATTTCCTGGAAATTAATGGTGTTTTGTATCTTGTTCATAGAAGAAGGATGTAAACAATATTTTTTATTATTATTATTCACCTTTTGTTTCCTACAGTTTCTGCCTCCTTTTCCCTTTCCCTCCCGTTTTCCCTTCTCCCGCTTCTTTCTTTCACAACACGCCATCTAGACAAAAAGCCCTGAAAAACAAATAGGGAAGGGGCTGCACTTACATAACACAAAAGATACAGTAAGATGCTAAGGTCACATCCATATCATATATAAAGCACATTTAAAGCATCTGGCTTCGCCCAAAGAATTCTAGTGGAAACTGTCATTAACCCATCGCAGAACCGCCATTACCAACTCCCTCAACAAACTACAGCTCCCAGGATTCATTGGAGGAAAGCCATGTGCTCTAAACGTACGGCAAATGTGTTTGCCACATAAAAAGACCAGCATGCACTTGGTTTCCTTTCCTCCCTCTTCAACGTCTAGTTAGGGAAGCATCACAAGAGGGGAGTTCTCACAGCCCCACACACCTGTTGAAAGGATGTGTGAGGGGTGAGGGGCCACATAGGCCAGCTCCACCACTGACCCAGGTAGCAGCAGAAACACTCCCCATCACCTGCATGTTTGGTTGGCATGTGGAAGGCCACTGCAGTCTGCACATCAAGATACCCCTTGCATAGGGGAGCCATATGTCAGTACACATGTAGAGCCCCTTCACATGACAGCCACATGCAGAGATCGCAAGTGTGGGTGTGTGAGCATGGCTGTGGTGCAGATGGTGGAAGGGCTGGTTTGTGAGGCCCTGCAATCTGCCTCATGTAGGGTTTGGGGGGGTCAAAGCAATGCTTCTGTCACACATTTCCCTGTTCTGGCTACCACTGGAGCAGAGGGGAGAGCAGGAAATGCAGAATGTAGTGACATCACATCATGCTTTCCTAATGAAGTGTTAAGGGGAAACCAGATGTGCAACTGCCATTTTCCACAGCAAATGTGTGTTCACTAACAGTTTGAGCCTGAAAATATAGATTTTTTTTGGCTAGAAACCTTCACTTCCAAAACACAAAGCAAGCAGATTCATTTAAAAATCAGGCATACATGCTAGGCAGGTTTTGCATTTGAGTTACAGACAGAAAGCCCATCCAGATCACCTGTTTATTGAGCATTCATTCAGATTTGTTTGTGGGGAAAGTATATGGCAAGGAGCTTTCATGCTGCATTCTTTCCTGATTTGCTTGTGGGGTGTTTACATACCTTGCCGTTAGTCATTCAATCGTCCCACACATTCCTCCATTGCTTTCCAAACGCCAGAAAGTCTGATTCTTGAATTACTGTATTTTTCCATGTATAGGACTATACTTTTCCCCAAATTTTTTAAGTTTAAAATTGGGGGTCATCTTAAACACGGAATGTTGCATTTATTTATTTCTTAATTTGGGGCTCAAAAAATAGGGGCCGTCTTATACATAGGGGCGTCTTATACACAGAAAAATATGGTCCTTAATTATAAAAATACTTATATACTGAAATGTATATAAATGTGTGTGTGTGTGTATGTGTGTGTGTGTGTATATATATATATTATGAAATGTTGGGAAGGTGTGCAACAATATGTATACAATAAAACACCATTTAAAAAAGCAGTACGAAACAGTTATAAAAGTGGATTTATTGGCTAGGCTTATAGAGCCCTTTAATCCACTTTAAATGTGCAAACCCAAAGTTCTGGTGTGTGCTTGAATCCCTCCTGCAAATCAATGACTGGGAAGGCACCCATAGGCTCCAAAAGTTGGGATGCAACGAGGTAGCACTGCCCTAGTTGCTGGGGGCGGGGCTGTGTGACCTCACCCCACAGCTGATCTGAAAAAGAAGAAGAAAAGACCATTGTTGAAGTCAAAGCCAAGTGATGCTCTCTAAATGTTCTACAATTATCATCATGAAGAATTACTAGTTATTTCAGTGTACATAAGATTATGCTAAACTCATGTTGACAATATTGAAAGCAATAGAACTAGCCAGTATGACAAATAGATTAAGAGATAAAGATGATAAGAGACTGAAAGAGGACTGGATATTATATGGAAAAATATTATAACAAGGAAATTATCATAACAGGTTGAACAAACACTCAGCAGTATATGTTACAACATGAGACTATGTAAGGTAATGAGAATAATGTAGAAGAATAAGAAAACACAGTTAAAAAGGATAGGAGACAGGAAATCATGGAAAGAGTAGAAGGGAAGTAAAAGTAAAGACATATAGGAATTAAACAACTTGGAGGAATGTGGATATGTTACCATTATTATTACAGTGGTACCTCGGTTTACAGGCACTTCAGGTTACAGACACTTCGGGTTACAGACTCCTCTAACCCAGAAATAGTACCTCGGGTTAAGAACTTGCTTCAGGATGAGAACAGAAATCACGCAGCGGCAGCACAGTGGCAGCAGGAGGCCCCATTAGCTAAAGTGGTACCTCAGGTTAAGAACAGTTTCAGGTTAAGAACGGACCTCCAGAACAAATTAAGTTCTTAACCCAAGGTACCACTGTATATGCTCATGTTTTATATTTAGGTTATCGCCTTTATTTTTGTTTTAAGCACGAATGTAACAGAGTACATATTGATGGCAAGATATAACAGAAAAGCAAATAAAAATATTATTAAAAATATTGAACGCAATGGCTTATAGTTTTGTTAGTCGCTTATTAAATAAAGATGTAATAATGCACGTGATATGTAGGCAACAGTCATTATGTTCCCCTTCAACTTTAAAAACATTTCCAGGGCTCTGGATTATAGATATGAAATGTAAAAACAATGTAAGGAAAGCCTCTGCATATTACAGCATGGATGCTCATATCCTAAGCACTTTTTGCGCTGGAACAGCACATCTTAGGGCTAGAGCAGAGACTGACTTAAAGCCAAGTCCTTCTGTTAAACTGGCTTCCTCTGGTGCTCCCAGCTTGTCCTGCCAACTACACTGTACTCGACAAGATTTATTTCCAGGTTCTATCTATGAATAATGGCTGGCAGCAAATAGTGGGGCATATGGCAAAACACAGCCATTAATAGCAGAAAACAACATTTTCAAGTAATAATTACAAAGCTCTGCCTGAAACAAACTATCACTTGAGTTAGAAACTGCATCTGAACTGCTGCAGTTTAGGTCAGCCACTAGCTAACACTTTATGCTAGCCAAAAGTTCCTTACAAGAACAGTTTTAGAAAAATTAAGAAATTTCACAAGTTTGTAAACTGTTTTCAGTTAGCAACATGAGCCAGAGTAATTGAGTGCGATCTCAAGATAATCCCACAATTTTCCTTTTTAAGTCGTTCACAGCTCATGAGGTTCAGGACAGAGCAGATTAACAATATATCGTCAGAAGGACTGCTGCCACATCCAAAGTGCAAGAAGCTCACATGAAATCAGCTGCAAAATTGGGATAAAGCAAAAATTACTGTCCTATTGTCGGCATCATTCTGTATAATGGGAGCGGCTCAGTACCCCACAGTAGTTGGGCCTTGAGCCACTCCCATTATACAGAATGATGCTGACAATAGGACAGTAATTTTTGCTTTGGGTGGCATGGGAGCAGAGCAGGTGTGGAGGGGGGATTCAACCTGCTGGAGTCCTGAGGGAAATTAGACTTCTAAATCTGGTATTTGCTTTGGGGGAAATTCCCCACTGGCACCTGTGCATATTTGGATATGCAAGAGTTAGGTAAACCTGAGCACCTGTAATAGCTTACAAAAAAAGTCAAAACACACAGGCCACACAAATCCAGCATAGAGTTACTCATATTTACAGTTTTTCACGGTGCCTCCGAAGTAAGTCCTACTGTGTTCAGTGAATTTTTCTTTCCAGTAAGGGTCCTTGGGGCTGCAACTTTAACTCCACTAATTTCAGTGAGTCTAAGTACAGTGGTACCTCAGGTTAAGTACTTAATTCATTCCGGAGGTCCGTTCTTAACCTGAAACTGTTCTTAACCTGAAGCACCACTTTAGCTAACGGGGCCTCCTGCTGCTGCCGTGCCACCGAAGCACGATTTCTGTTCTCATCCTGAAGCAAAGTTCTTAACCCAAGGTACTATTTCTAGGTCAGCAGTGTCTGTAACCTAAAGCATATGTAACCTGAAGTGTATGTAACCTGAGGTACCACTGTATTCTTAACCAAAAAAATGGTCTGTAGCCATAGTGTATAAACAACTTCTCTGAGTAGTTTTTCTTACCCTGTTGTTTAGACTAACATTGAAAATATTGCCATTTGCGCAGCAAAGATGCTCAACAAAATATTTGTTAGGACTTCCATTCCCCTATTCTCAGTTATTTTAGGAATATTAACGACATGTGGTTTGGACTTAAGTTCCTAAGACCTGCATCTAATAATGCAATTAAAATGTCATTTGTGAAGGGGAATTTTACAAATGAAGTTAAAAGCACCTTGAAGATATATTATTATTTGACCTGTTACATAAGAGGATTATATCTCTGGCTGTTGCAGATAGGGACTCTTTGCCAATACAAAAATGATTGTTTTCCAATTAGCTTGTCTTGACAGAAGGGAAAAAGGCACATATTGCAGTCCCCCTGTTACCACTGAGACTCCCTGCTTCCTGAGTTAAGCTGAAGGCCCCGTTTTTACACTCCAAGTTCATTATCTTTTTCAATAGCTAAGAAATTGCTAAGTGTTGTTAGCCCACAGTCAATATGTGTGACTAAAAAGCAGAGGAGGCAACAATTATAGGCATATCTTCTGAAGGTCATTTTACAAAACTGCTCTTATTTGTGGCTAAGAGATACAAAGCTATGGGAAATTAAAAACAATATATTTCAAGGCTAGGGCCTAGTCTTGAAACATGTGAATCAAGGCTGGCCCTATAATGAGACAGAGTGAGGCAGCAGCCTCAGGCAACAAATGTTGAGGTCCAGGGAGGGGACAGATCTGTGAGTGCCATATGGCTTGCCCTGACACCCCTAAGTTTGCCTGCTCCCCTCAAGTGCAGTAGAATATATTGTTCTTTCACCAGCATTATTACTATTACTATTATTTGTTCTGAAACAAACCAAAACATAACATCTTTTGAAATTTGCGCTTATCCAAATTTTGCAAAGCAGTTCGCCAGTGAAGTAATATGTACCATAAAAATCATATACTATGGTAAAGTGTGCATATATTAGTGAAGATAATATCAAAATGTAGAAAATATAGAAATATAGATACTATAGAAAATGACTTATAATAGGGAAATGTGCAAAAATGTGTATACAGTATTAGGCAAAATTGCATATAAACATGTGTACCATAGAAGAAAGCCATACAAAAATGGTGATGAATTTCCATGAGCACTTTAAAAATAAATAAATAAATATAGCAATGCTGAGAACTGATTTTATCATTGGAAAAATGAGAAACTGAGAGAAACGGATGTATTTGCCCATTCTCCCTCCTCGTCAGTCAGTGTTGCATACCCACTAAGCATGCTCAAGCCTCATTGGCCTGCGTGGGGTGGTTTTCCTCTCCATTTCAATTAGTTTGATGAAGTGTAAAGAAAACTCTCACAGAGAACACTCACATCAGCAACTTTTCCAAACAAGAATTCTTAGGGTTCTTTAGGGGAACAATGACAAGGCAAGCTGATCTAAAATCAGTATAAAAGTTTGTAAATATGGATTTTCTGTGTCACACACACCAAGTCTGTATGGAGTGGTCGTGCATAAATGGTGGATGATCTGGTTGCAGTGTGTGTGTGTGTGCATGCGTGCATGCGCAAGACTTTTCTATTTTTTAAGGAATGGGATAGGCATCTGGATTGATTTGGACATCATGCAGGTTTAGTGTAAAGAAGCACTGGAGGGGGGTAGCGTTCTCCAGCAACCAGATATCACACTGTCAGCATATTCCAATGGGCTTATTAGCAATTTTATTGTATTTAATTTGCAGCAAGGTAATTTAATGTCATGCAAAAGAGCCATCAGGATGAAAAACTGCATCAGAATTAAAAACCAATAATCAAACTTCCCATCTCAGTGAGCTCTTGCAGTGTAATGATGACGCGCAATTAAGCAGGAGCCAGTCCTCCTGGCCATCCTACAAGAAAGAGCGCTTCATGGAATTGCGTGTGTGTGGGAGCCAGTTGGTAGGCTTCTCCTCTGCTTCGAAGCCTAGGGAAATATGTAATGCTTGCCTTGTTTGTTTTCATTGTCAATCTCTCCCCTTACTCCCCCATACACTTTGGTTGGAATAACACTGAAATAGTCCCTGCTCAGGGCTTTTCCATGCTATAAAACTCTCTTCTTGCTTTCTAGCCACTGCTTTAGTTTTCTTCAGCAGTTTGAGAAAGTAATTGGGGTCTAAAAAAGAGGGGGAGGGACTTTCTTCTACTTTTGTTTTTATTCCAAGCCCAGGAAAAGCATCAGAAGGCCAGTGAGCCTGACATGATTGGGAGGGTCTGTGCTGGAATAGGACAGCCAGGCTGCCACAATGGGACTCTGAGGGGCTAGCAGGAGACTTTTACCGTAAACCCGAAGAATACCTTGTCCTACCTGCAGCCTGTGCTGTGGCTTAAATTTGCACCCTGGCATATTTTCAAGATATGAAAGTCAGGTTGTTTGTAACTTTGCATAGCACAGAGTCAGGATGGGAAGAAACTCGGTTCAGTTCTCATTTAAAGGCAGATGTATCAAATTTTCACTTTCCAAAACAAGATGAGAATGGAAACACAACCATCATTTGAAATTCACAACTATCTGAATGTTGGGATGCGCTTGGGATGCCAACCAAAGAAGGATTGCAAAAATGCATGTATTAGGTAAACGTGTGCATCAGAATGAATGTATTCATGAAAATATACAAAAAGCACTATATTAGGATAAATTGCTTGCAAAAAGGTGTACATTGGTCAAAACAGCAAAAAAATGTGTTTATTATTCACACTAAAACGCTAAAAGAATTTTCATGCATTTTCATGAGGGTTTAATCCCCCCCCCCAAGAAATTGCTGCAGAAGTGTGGAGAGCTGAATTTAATATTAGAAAATAGAGAAACTCAGAGAGCAAAAATTGGCAGCTGTATCCATCCCTAAAATGGGATGGGAAATAAGAAAGATGCTGGAACTCAGGTCAGATCTAGGGAGTTTTCTTTCTGACCAAGACTTGTTGCTAATCCCAGAAATCTGGGGATGGGCTGCAGTTTTGTAGGGATGAGGGAAGTGCACCCCGAACAGTCACAAAGCCAGTCTTTTTATAATAACTTCATATCTTCAATAATAATAATAATAATTTATTTCTACCCATCCATCTGGCTGGGTTTCCCTTCTTCTAGAGGGTGAACCCTCTCAAATCAAGCTTGCATGTGGCTTTCTACAATAAAAGCAAAAGGCTTTGAGCATTCGCAAATGCCTCTCTACAGGGGCGGAGGAAGGGGGGTGGGCCACCTCGGGTGTCACCAATGAGGGGGTGACAAAATGCCAGGTGGTACTCACCGCGGGGCCTGCAGTGTGCCCGAGCCACGCATTTCTCCTGGGAGAGACGCGGTGGCTCAAGTGCACGTAGGCTCTGCGCTGCCCAAACGTTCTGCCCGCTGCCTCCCCCTCAGCTGTAGCGCGGGAGAGTGGGAGGAGGCAGGCAGACTCCTCAGAAGCCCTGCGGAGCATTCTGTCCTGGCTTGCCCCGCCCCCGCAGGGCACACGCGCCGCCCCAGGCCCCCAATCGGCTTGCTCCGCCGCTGCCTCTCTATGCCCCATTCAAAAAGCATTATCAGAGGTCATGGACACATTTAGGTCAGACAAAAACACCCCAAGGAGGATGCAGAGCAAGACTGATGTGGCCTGAGATGTGTGTGCATAGCTGGGGAGAGTCCTGAGGACCTAACAGAAAGGCATAAAGGGCCACAATGGGTCCCCAGACCTGAAGTTTGCCCTCCATGACCAATATGGTTGCCATTCCTTCCTTGAAGTCTGTAGTTGCTTAGTCTCTGTCTTGTACTTAAAATGAACAGGAGCTGTTCATATGTGTCAGGGGTTCAGGAGCAGAGGCAAGGGCAAGGGAGGAAACAGAGAGCGAGGGGGAGGAGGCAGAAGAAAAGATGAGTGATGACGACGACCCGAGATCTCCGAGTCTTTCCAGTGAATCAGAAGATTCACAGAAAGGAGCACCAGTGGCCAGGGCAAGGGGGAGCCTAGGGGACACCCCAGGAAGATAGAGCCAGAGGGGACTCAGAGGGGAGCAGTTGGAAATCGGGACCAACGTCACCGCCAGAGAGCAGGGAAGAGGAAGGGCGCCAGGGATCAAGCGCTGGCAACTCACAACAGGGGGGAGGGCACGAGTCAGGAGTGGCCACACCCCCATCGGGGAGCGAAGAAACGGTCAGACGGAAGGTGGAAGGTTGGGCGCGCGCGCCAAGTTCAAATGCACAGGAAGGTGGCGCAGTAGGCAGCCCGGAAAGGGAGCCAGGTCCTAAAGCCCGCCGAAAGGAGGGAGAAGAGTCAGGGGAGTCAGCGTCAGCGTCAGAGGAATCCCGGAAGGAAGAGACCCCGGGGGGCAGAGGGACCCAGAGAAGAACAGTCAGGCGGAAAAGGTGGAGCAGGGCTAGGATATTAAGTTGGTGTACAAGGGGCGGAGACTCAGACGGAGCTTCGCCGGTCTAAGCATGAGACGTAGAGTTGCACGCAGCAGCTTGAGAATGGAAACTGTAACTCAATAAAGACTTTTGTTTAATGATCGCTGGCTAGCGTGATCCTCTGTGAGCTAGGATCTGGAAGCAGCTCTGACAGTAAGCTCCGTCTCCTAAATTGTGGGCATCTACGGCCTCGCGGAGAGGAGAGAAAGCGGGTGCCTACTAGCGAGCTCACGAACGGCAGACAATATGACGGCCGAACAGCAGATAGCGGAACTCAGAGAAGCAGTGTCACGACTGAATGCCGAGGCTCTTGCATCCAGGAAGAGAGAGGAGGACGCAGCTGCCGCCTACAGGGATCTCCAGGTCAGGTTGGAAGTGCTTACGAAGCAAGGGCAACTGACACCCAAACCGGAGGGGATTGGGTTGGGGAGACGAACAGGCGGTCTGGTCTCTCACTTCGATGGGAATTTGCAACAGTACCCCAACTTTAGAGCAGATGTAATGTGTGCACTGCAACTGCTGAACAAAGACTTTAGAGATGAGCAAGAGAAGGTGGGATTCATCATGTCCCATTTGCATGGAGATGCTAAAGCATGGCTGCGCAATTTGTGGAGAGATAAGGATCCGGCGCTCCAAAATGCGGATGCCTTTATTAAAGCGATGGATGGGTGCTTTTATTCAAGCATTGACGTGGATCTTGCTAGGCAGCAGATACATGGACTGAAGCAAGGGAGGGCCAGCGTAAGGCAGTACCATGCCCGCTTTGCGCTTTGGTCAGTGCTCTGGAATGGGACAGAGTTTCGGCTCCTGTAAGAGACCTGTTTTGGGAGGGATTGCACGGCTCGGTTAAAGATGAAATTGCGAGGGGAGAGACCCCGGACCACGCAGGAGATCGTTCAGAGGGCGCTGGCGGTGGGGGTGCGGCTGGAAGAACGTCCGTGGAGCAGGGACGAAGGGCGTGGAGGGCGCGAACCAGCCAGGGGCTCCTCCTTCCTTCCCAGAGAAGCAGCGCGTGCGCAATCCACGCCTCCGCCAGGAGGAGGAGCGGAACCTATGGAGGTTGGAGGTGCAAGGGCTCAGTCAGCAGCCAGAGCCCTAGCACCGGCAGCAGTGAAAGCGAAGCCTCCTAGAGGGAACAGGAAGTGTTACATCTGCGATGATCCACAGCATATGGCGAAAGAGTGTCCCCAGAGGCTCCACAAGCACACTGCAGCCTCAGCAATGGTAACTGCAGCAACGCAGCAAGGAGAACCACGGCAGGGAAACGACGGAGTCTGGCTGGAGAAAGAGGCACTGGGGCCCAGCCAGACGTGTCAGTGAAGCAGTCCCCAGAGATTTTACAGCCCATGGACCCCCTCCCGCCCAAACCAGTAGTGAGGCTCACCGCGTCGCTCCAGCTGCCCAATGGCATCACCATGGACGTGCCAATCACCATTGACTCCGGAAGCAATGCGGACTTTATAGGGCAGGACTTTGTCGACCGGCACGCTATACAGTTGCTGCCTGCCACGCTGCCCCTGCAGGTTGTCACGGTGGATGGCAGGGAGCTGCTAGGGGGGCAAGTGGTGAAGCAGACGCCACCAATGGTGATGAGACTTGGGAATCACAGGGAAATCATCAGCTTCAATGTCACTCAACTATCGGACACGCCCATTGTATTGGGCATGAGTTGGCTGGACAAGCACAGCCCGACGCTGGCTTGGTACCAGAGGCAGCTGACCTTCGGCTCTTCCTTTTGCGCTGAACACTGCATCGTGCCCCGGCAGGAAGGAGAGGAAGAGGAGTCACAGCTGCAGCTAGGCACGCTGCAAGCGGTTCCCCACAAGTACGCAGCATTTTTGGAGGTTTTCTGTGAGAAGGAGGCAGACAGGCTACCCCCCCACAGACCATATGACTGCAGAATTGACCTGCTGCCGGGGCGGCGCTGCCCAAAGGGAAGTTGTATTCCATGTCTGATGACGAACTGCACGAAATCAAAGAGTTCATAGATCATAAGTTGGAGCGCGGTTTCATCCGAGAGTCCAAGGCAGCGGGGGCAGTCCGGTATTCTTTGTTAAGAAGCGGGACACGCCCCAAAAAGACTTGTAGTGGACTATCGCATTTTGAACAGCGTGACCAAGCCATCGGACTTCCCCATGCCCCGAATCGACGACCTCCTCGCAAAGGTACGGAAGGGCAGCGTGTTCACCAAGTTGGACCTGCGAGGGGCGTACAACCTCATTCGCATGCGGGAAGGAGATGAGTGGAAGACAGCCATGTTCACGCCCTGGGCACCTACGAATATAGAGTTATGCCTTTTGGATTGCAAAATGGTTCCCACGTTTTTCAAGCTTTCATGCATCACGTGTTGGCGGGGCTCTCTACAAGACGTGCGTCTGTTTCTTGGATGACATCCTGATCTTTTCGGAATCGCAGCAGGAGCATGACAGGCACGTCAAGGAAGTGCTGAGCAGGCTACAGCAACATAGGCTTTACGCCAAGCTGGAGAAGTGCCAATTCGACGTGACGGAGGTGGATTTCCTGGGCTACAAGTTGTCTGATAAAGGGCTCGCCATGGACAGCACCAAGGTCCGAGCAGTGTTGGATTGGAAAAGCCCACGCAACCGGAAGGAGGTCCAACGGTTTGTCGGCTTTGCGAACTTCTATCGCAAGTTTATCAAAGGCTTTGCCATGCAGACAGCGGCCATCACGGACACGCTCAGCTCCAAGAAAAAGAAGTTCATCTGGACAGAGCAGGCGGAGCAGTCCTTTCAGGCACTCAAGCCGTCTCTTCGCGTCGGAAGAGCAACTGCTTCATGTCAACCCCAGCAGGCCGATGAGGGTGGAGACAGACGCTCGGACAGAGCCGTGGGAGCAGTCCTGCTGCAGAAGGACCCGCAGGGGGTTTGGAGGCCGGGAGCGTTTTACTCAAGGAAGCTCAGCAAGTCCGAACAGAACTACACCATCTGGGACAGGGAGTTGCTGGCCATTCATGCAGCGTTCAAAGCGTGGAGGCACTTCCTGATCGGCGCCAAGCACACGGTGCAGGTCTGCACGGACCACAAGAATCTAGAGCACTGGCGCACGGCACAGTTCCTGAACCAGAGGCAGATACGTTGGGCTGAGTTCTTTGCGAATTTCGACTTCCGAATAGAGTATGTCCCGGGGACACCAACATCATGGCGGATGCTCTCTCCCGTAAGCCACAGTATTTGGAGGAGGCAACGCCAGTGGCCGCCATGCACATCGTCGCACCGACAGTGTGGCGTGCATGGCGGCGACAGTTGACCTGGAGGCGGTGCGACGAGCGTTGCAGGATGACTCCTTCGCGCAAGCAAAGATGGCAGAGGCGCACAGGGGCACGGCAGCGACCGACGAGTTCCAGCTGCGAGATGGTTTGCTCATCCGTAAAGGGGCCATCTACGTGCCGGGAGACGAACTTCGCGCCAAGGTACTGCAGCAGCTGCACGACGCGCCCACTGCCGGGCACTTTGGCAAGGAGAAAACGGTGGAATTAGTAGCCAGAGACTTCTGGTGGCCAGGAATGAGAGGGGAAGTCGCGGACTACGTGGCGAGGTGTGACACCTGCCAGAGGGCCAAACCAGTGCACAGACCGCCGGCCGGACTGCTGGAACCGCTGCAAACTCCGTTCGAACCATGGGAGAGAGTGGCCCTGGACTTTGTCACGGATCTGCCCAGCTCGAGGGGCAAGACGGCTGTGCTGGTGGTGGTGGACTTGTTCTCCAAGATGGCACATTTCATTCCGTGTGCGAAGGTGGCCACGGCGGAACAAACCGCCAAACTGTTCATAGACCACGTGTTCAAGGTTCACGGTCTGCCGCGGTCTATTCTGTCCGACCGAGGGCGACAGTTCATCTCGAACTTCTGGCAGAGGCTGATGGGCTTCCTGAACGTCAAGATCAACCTGGCGTCGGCTAGACACCCACAGACCAATGGGCAAGCGGAGCGGGTCAATGCCATCATGCAGCAGTACCTGAGATGTTA